ACAGGCACTTCACATGGAACACACATCCACGAGCTCTAGGTTTGAATCTGTGCTCTCTACGTGGATGTTTAGCAATGATCATACATGTGCAGTGTGATATAACTTGATGTGCTTAAATGTAGGTCCAGTAACCTTAGTGTGCTGTTCAAGACTGGAATTTGGAAATCCTAAACTTAAGTCTCATCTGGACAGGCACCTATCCTGGCACCTCTCAGTACTGGTTTAACGTAGGGGCCAACAAGGGACATATCCGTGTCCGTTATACTGCATCAGTGGCTTCCTTCACTGTCCGCTCAACGATCACACTCCATCGTTCAAACCGTTTCACTTTGCCTGTAACACCTGGGGTTACAAAACTTTAGTGGCAAGTGGTGCTTAAGACGAGCTGTGCACTTGTGCATGGCATTTAAAACAAACATGTAATATGCGCAGAAATGTATCTACACTACTTCAAGCTTAAAGAATGGCTCTAGTGAATGCAAACCCAATAGGTTGGCGTTAATAATGTAAAGTGATTATCAAAATGACTACTTTATACAAATGTTATATCTTGCACGTAATCAGCGAATTATATGTTTTACTCAAATAGTGTCAAATGGGGTAGGGGAAATTATTTGTACCCAAAACGTAATATGGACCGCTGGTGGTTACGTACATTACCTGTTTATGACTAAGATTGATCAGCGAGTAAAACTATTTAATTTTCTATAAACACCAGAACTACATCTTTAAGACATCGCCCCGCAATCAAGACCTCCGCTCCCAACGCTGCTGCACCCCTGTCGTCGCCGCAACGTACGCCCGAACACATTCGAAATTTCTCCTACACGGTATCCACGCCGCAGCCTGCGTCTAAGGTTGCTGCTGCTCTCCGCGCGCGGCTGTTCGGGGGGACCTGGCCCTGCTTGTTGAGCCTCCTCACCTTCTGGAAGCCAATGTCCTTGGCATACTGACGGAAGCACTGGCGGCACATGTTGAGGCCGTACTTGCGGATGAGGCCGTGGCGGTTGGAGCACACGCGGCTGTCGGGCGCGCACACGGGGGGGGTGGGTGAGGTTAGAATTCCGGTGGCACAACGTGGAACCACAAACTGCACCATGGGGGAAATGCAGAACCTAAATGCAATTAACAACGTAAGGGGGGGGGGGGGGGGGAGGGGGTGGCTCTTCCTGGCATCCTACTCGATGGTGATCTAAACTAGCATTAGGTTCGACTTTCAATGAGGGTACTTTAGTTGTGTTTAACCAAGTGAGAACTCAAATCCAAAAGCAACTTCGTCGACCACAAGTTAAAATGCTTAACGTCATGCATCCAGCGACAAGCAGCAGTAACAATCTTGTAAAATATAAGTTTTACAAGTTAAAATGCTTGTCATGCAGCCAGCAACAAGCAGCAGTAACAATCTTGTAAAATATAAGTTTTACGTAAGTGTTTGGGGTCCGAGTTATATATTACGGTCAGGTCAACATCATTTTTCGGAATCAACATGGCAAATGGTCGGTTGAAGATCACAAAGTGAAATTGGGGAAGAGTCCCAAGGAACTGGCCAGACCCTTAATTTGGTCAGGTCTTCAATTCGACTTTAAAGTCATATGCTCATAAGGATCAGATTAATCCTTCGGTGTCCGGATCGTTAACTGGTGTTAGTAAGTGGGTCGTGATAATTGCAGTTATTTGAATCGATCTTTGCATAATTGCGGTAACCTCGCATACGAGGTTCGTTAATTGGGTCACGTTAATACAATTATTCAATTACGATTTGGGCCACAAAGGTAATCAATTAGCCGGGGCGGTGGAGCTGTGATTATCGCACTGCGCTAATAATCCGGCTACAACAAGTTCGATTCCCGGCCGCGGCTAACATCAGTGATCAAACCCGGTGTTGTCCCAGCCCCGCTTCATCAACCCGCACTACCCAGCTTAGTGGTGCATAGTCAGACAACACCAACAAACGACACGACGGCGTGGAAGTGGCCTTCATCCAGCAGTGGAGCAAAGATGTAAACGGTAATCAGATCCGGGCTGCGACTCGCCGCGTGTCCCACGTGCACGGGGGCCTAGGCCGATCCCCGCGCGCCATCCGGCAGCGCCACCACTCCGCGTGCCCACCGCTCTACCGCTTCCCATTAACTCTCATTCACCAATTAACCACTCCCAATCACTAATCGAACCTCTCCAATTCCTTGGTAACATCGACAATCATTTTCACCACCACCACCACCCCCCTCTGTCCAGAGGCCTTACTCGGGCCTTGCCCAAGGAGGCTTCTATTCGCACGCGCTCCCCGCACTGCACACACTCCTGCGCGCTTAGTAAACCCGCCGCCCCCGAGCCAGTAAACCGCCAAAGGGATCCCCTCGGTCCCCCGAACCCGCGAGCGAGTTCCGCTCACCAGGAGCGCGAGCCCTGGCCGAACTTCCTCGGGTGAGAGAAGTAGATCTGCTGGTGGCCCATGGCGGACGAGGCGGCGGCGGCGCGAGCAGACGAGGAGGAAGGAGGGCGGGGCGACGCGCATTTATATACCCGCGCCCAAGTCTCGCGAGAGCGGGACCCATCTCGCCTGCCGCCGTTGTCCAAACCACAGATCTCGCGATAAGTGGCGACGCGTTCGTGTGTTAAAAAGACCGCTTGTGTTGCGATCGAAACGTCGTGGGTTTTTTTGCTTTCATTATTTTTTATTTTTATTATTTTGTATTTTTATTTTCCATCGACGTGACTTTACTGAAAGAACCAATAATATTAATTCCTGCAGTCACTAAAGTTTTAAATTTCGGTGGGGGCTAAAAGTATAAAGTCTCGCGAGATGTTAGCATTAGCCCGGACGCACCAGAGTATGTTCTCAGTCTCGCGAGATTTTAACGAAGAACGCGCTCCTCCTACTCGCGCTGATTTGGTTACCTGCGTGGCGGCCATGTTGGTACGGGAGAGCGACATGAAGAGTACAGTACAACCCCCCTGTGTGGAAATCCACCGCTGGATGAGGGGCCTCGTCACGCCGTGATTGGGTGATGGTCGTCAGGATCTTTTGTAATAAATCATACTTCACCACACTAGTGTGGGTTGGTGAAGGCAGGGAACACAGAAGTAGAGTACAGCATTTTCTTTGGTTCTTTCGGTAAAGTCACGTAGAATGAGAATAAAATAATAAATTGATAAAATAAAATAACGCAATAATATTCTCACGACGTTTCGGCCACAACACAAGCGGCCTTCATCAGGTGAAGGGGACGAGACTGTCTGGAGGACAGCGCTGGAGTGAGAAAGCCACGCTAAGATCACGACCTTTAAGCTGTGTGAGAAGAAACAAAGCGCCTTGACAAAGGAATGAGCATATAATTTATCTTTGAAATGGCTGAGTGATTAGCTTGTGACTAGTCACAGAAAAGGCTATGTTAAAGTTAAAGCATACAAGGGGTGCCTTTGCGGATGTGTATGCTTTAACTTTAACATAGCCTTTTCTGTGACCAGTCACAAGCTAATCACTCAGCCATTTCAATGCTAAATTATATGCTAATTCCTTTGTCAAGGCGCTTTGTTTCTTCTCACAGCTTAAAGGTCGTGATCTCAGCGTGGCTTTCTCACTCCAGCGCTGTCCTCCAAACAGTCTCGTCCCCTTCGCCTGATGAAGGCCGCTTGTGTTGTGGCCGAAACGTCGTGAGAATATTATTGTGTTATTTTATTTGATCAATTTATTATTTTGTTCTCATTCTACGAGACTTTACCGAAAGAACCAAAGAAGATGAATCCTTGCAGTCACGAAAGCTCTAAATCGAAATGTAGAGTACAGCAATGTACTTTTCTGCACTGCCTCCTTACTGCTGTCCGCCACGAAGCCCCTTCACCCTGTCCCATGCAGGGTCGTCACCCCTGCTCTTAGCTTTCGCTTGGTAACATGGCAAATTAAAAGTGACTGCGAGGTGTATCATTCCTGAATTAGTGAGATGGCTCAAACGTCGAGATGCGTCCTACCAGTAACACTACAACAAAGTTTGCGTTGTTTTTTTTTTAGATAACAGAAATATCAATTGTATGTTTTTTTTTGTAAGGCCACGTTATGAGTGGTTCCTACCAGTATTAAATCTATTATGTGGTGTATTGTACGAGCCTTTAATGTGCCGGTTATTGTTTCAGCGTATTCACTGGTAGGCTGAAGAGCAATCGTCAAAACCAAACCGAGCTATTAAATATTTCACTTGAAACTGCACCAAGCATCTTCAGAACAAGATCCAGGAAGTCAAAATTAATTTGGCCAGATTATTACGTGGCCGAACCCAAAAAACATTCGTGTTGAGTATTTATCTAGAATTGGGTATTTATATTTATACCTTGACAGTTATAGCATTCATTTTTGGTAAAAAAAAAATGCCTTTGGAAAAATAAAGGCATACGTATAAATGGTAAACATTTAACCATCTTAGATTTGCTTATGATATTTGTGAATCAGGCACATCCAATTGAAATATAGCGTACAGGAAATTACTGCTTAACTTGAAAAGAGAGAAGACTGCAAAGTTGAGCTTTAGATAAATACTAGCAAGACAAAAAGTCAGGTAACATGTTCACTAAAACAAACTAATTGCTGGAAGCACAACTAGGAAACACCATCATTAATATAAAGTACAATGCACACGTAAATACGTCAGTAATTGAAGGTGGACCAAAGCAAAATTATTAACTACATCCAAGCAATAGCAGGTTGAAATATATATGGATATCTAAACTTTTTTAACCCTACAAATATTACTGGTAGGAACGAAGTTGTAAACTGAGTGTACCAGCCTGCAATAGATTAATGTGTCCGTCCGTCCGTCCCCTTTCAATACTTTAACGAAGTGAAATCTCGTGCTGTTGGGTGTAAAAAAAATTCCAATGTTCCTACCAGCCCACCCTGCAGGGACCTGTTCCAATAGAGGAAAGTTCAATAAAACCGCGCTGTGATATGGCTCAGAAACGTGGAAATTTGGCTAGGTGTGGCCTAGGCCCGCGGCCATATTGCTACGGGAGACCGCCCCACCCCCACTGACGCCACACGCGGTCGTGTCCCTGGGTAAGATGGCCTCAGCATAGCCGCGTCTCCTCGGCCTTGAGTTATCATCACGGTGGTGGTGGCGGAGACGGCTGGAGGTGGTTGAGGTGGACGTTTCGGTGGTGAAACCATGGACGACCAGGGCTGCCCGCGGTGTAAGACCACCAAGTACCGCAATCCGCAGCTCAAGCTCATGGTGAACGTGTGCGGACACACGCTGTGAGTAGTGGCCACATACCCGGTCTCCTGAGACTCTGCTCGGGACTCTCCTCGTACGCTACCTCACGCAGACCCTGTCTCCCTTGTCTCCCCGTACGCTATCTCACTGTCTCCCTTGTCTCCCTGTACGCTACCTCACTGTCTCCCTTGTCTCCCCGTACGCTATCTCACTGTCTCCCTTGTCTCCCCGTACGCTACCTCACTGTCTCCCTTGTCTCCTCGTACGCTACCTCACTCAGACCCTGTCTCCCTTGTCTCCCCGTACGCTACCTCACTGTCTCCCTTGTCTCCCCGTACGCTACCTCACTAAGACCCTGTCTCCCCGTACGCTACCTCACTGTCTCCCCGTACGCTACCTCACTCAGACACTGTCTCCTTTGTCTCCCCGTACGCTACCTCACTAAGACCCTGTCTCCCTTGTCTCCCCGTACGCTACCTCACTGTCTCCCTTGTCTCCCCGTACGCCACCTCACTAAGACCCTGTCTTCATTGTCTCCCAGTACGCTACCTCACTGTCTCCCTTGTCTCCCTTGTCTCCCCGTACGCTACCTCACTGTCTCCCTTGTCTCCCCGTACGCTACCTCACTCAGACACTGTCTACCTTGTCTCCCCGTACGCTACCTCACTGTCTCCCTGGGACCTTGTCGAGGCTTTGCGTGGTGTCCCCCCCCGTGTTCTACAACTTATGCTGTTCCCTGTAGTTGTGAGAGCTGTGTGTTGTGTGTATGTTGAGTATACTCTACGATGTGTATATCTTAAATGTGTGTGTGTATACATACTGTGTACCATCACCGGTGACGATTCTCTGAACCGATCCTGGACTTCCCCTAGATCGACTCAGCCTCAAATGAGTACCTGGTGCGATGTCTAAACATTGCCACTGGGGAGACAAAGGCGGCCGGGCGTGGTGTTGGCCACCCACCCGTTCGTGTGCCGTGCCGGCCTTCATAGGTGGTACTCGCTCACAGCACTTGCCCCAAGTCTGGCAAGGCTATGCAGGGGTTCTTTGTCATTTGCGTCAGTGTGATAACTGTGAATGTGCTATGTGTATGTGCTGTATAGGAGTGAGAATTGAGTGGAGATGCTATGTATGTGCTGCTGTGTGGATGTGACAGCTGTGTGAAGGTGCTATGTATATGTAGGTGCTGTTGTGTGTGCGTGAGTGCTGTTTGGATATGCTATGTGTATGTATGTGCTGTGTAGGTTTGACAGCTGTGTGGAGATGCTAGGTGTATGTATGTGCTGTGTAGGTGTGAGAGCTGTGTGGAGATGCTATGTGTATGTGCTGTGTAGGTGTGAGAGCTGAGTGGAGATGCCATGTGTATGTGCTGTGTAGGTGTGAGAGCTGAGTGGAGATGCTATGTGTATGTATGTGCTGTGTAGATATGAGAGCTGAGTGGATGGTGCTATGTGTATGTATGTGCTACTGTGTGTAGGTGTGAGAGCTGTGTGGAGATGCTATGTGTAGGTGTGAGAGCTGTGTGGAGATGCTATGTGTATGTGCTGTGTAGGTGTGAGAGCTGTGTGGAGATGCTATGTGTATGTGCTGTGTAGGTGTGAGAGCTGTTTGGAGATGCTATGTGTATGTGCTGTGTAGGTGTGTGAGCTGTGTGGAGATGCTATGTGTATGTGCTGTGTAGGTGTGAGAGCTGAGTGGAGATGCTATGTGTATGTGCTGTGTAGGTGTGTGAGCTGTGTGGAGATGCTATGTGTATGTCCTGCTGTGTGTAGGTGTGAGAGCTGAGTGGAGATGCTATGTGTATGTGCTGTGTAGGTGTGAGAGCTGTGTGGAGATGCTATGTGTATGTGCTGTGTAGGTGTGAGAGCTGAGTGGAGATGCTATGTGTATGTATGTGCTGTGTAGATATGAGAGCTGAGTGGATGGTGCTATGTGTATGTATGTGCTACTGTGTGTAGGTGTGAGAGCTGTGTGGAGATGCTATGTGTATGTGCTGTGTAGGTATGAGAGCTGTGTGGAGATGCTATGTGTATGTGCTGTGTAGGTGTGAGAGCTGTGTGGAGATGCTATGTGTATGTGCTGTGTAGGTGTGAGAGCTGAGTGGAGATGCTACGTGTATGTGCTGTGTAGGTGTGAGAGCTGAGTGGAGATGCTATGTGTATGTATGTGCTGCTGTTTGTAGGTGTGAGAGCTGTGTGGAGATGCTGTTCGCGCGGGGCGCCGGCTCGTGCCCCGATTGTGCGACACCTCTGCGCAAGAGCGCGTTCCGCGTGCAGCTCTTCGAGGATGCCCTCATCGACAAGGAGGTGGAGATCCGCAAGCGTGTGCTCAAGACGTGAGATCCCGGAGACAAAGACACGAAGATGCAGAAAGACACTGACACGGAGACATCGGGAGGGAGACATGGACACACAAGGAGACACTGACACAGGGAGACGTAGACACGGGGAGACGCAGAGAGACAGAGGCACAAGCACACAGGGAGACAGAGAGAGACATGGAGACACATACATAGACAGGAGGGATGGAGATAGCAGAAAACCCACCATGCAGAGGGGGTGACAATCACCAGCTCCACACAGATAGGGTCACAAACCCACTTGCGGTACTGCCAACCACACGTGCATTTACCCGCCAGGTACAACAAGCGGGAGGAGGATTTCCCATCGCTCCGCGAGTACAACGACTACTTGGAAGAGATAGAAGATATCGGTACCGATCATTCGCTCCCAACCTCACATCACCAAAGACATTTCACCATTTAACCAACACTGCATTACCAACCGCACTCCACCATCACTCCAACAAACCACAGATCACCAACCACACCCATGTCATCAAACCCAAACACGTCCACACCACCAAACCCCACCTTGTTTGCCACAAAGTTTAACCAACATTGACCCCCCCCTGCCTCTCTCCCCAAGTATTTAACCTGACGAACAACGTGGATGTGGAAACCACAAAGCGGCGCATGGAGCAATACCAGCGCGACAACCGTGACATTATCCAAAGAAACCGCGTCAAGACGGTTCGTGGTGTGTGTGCGTGCGTGCATGCGCCCCCCACTTTTCTATGCTTGCAGAAATGTGGACCCCTTGAAAGGAAGATCTGCACGAAGTAGATTCTGTTTATCTGGATAGAGGGGGGATAACCGAGCGCGGCATGGGCAGGGGAAGAGATAAACTGATGTGGTACAGGTGGATGTGGAGCTGATTGGACTTGCCGATAACCGGCACCGGCGGTGTCAAGATCGGCCTTTATGGAGGAGGCTCGTAAAGGATGTTAATGGGTAGTTGGAGGCCGTTGCCCTCCACAGTTTGCACAGTGGGGAGCACAGATGATGCATCTATCAGTCAGTTAATCCACAACACCTGGGTTTGTCCCGTGACCTGCCAGTGAGCCTTCGACAATTCAAATGATGGCTTCAAAGCGTACCTCGCAGCAAGCATTGTGGTGACGTCATGACACTTAGTGGCGAATGGTGGCGGCTGTTGTTGTGTGTGCTGTGGTGCTCTAGAGCCGGGAGCAAGAGGAGCTGTGCGAGGGGCTCCAGTGGGAGCTCCATGAGTCCGAGCGCCGGCGCCTTGAGCTGCTGCAAGGGGAGCAGCAGCAGCGCGATGCGCGCAAACGCGCCGCGCAGGCCTTGCTGGACCAGATGGTAAGCTCACCGAGCCTCACCAAATTTCAGACTCGAGGGACCTTGCTGAGACTTACCGAGATTCAACAAGCCTCGTCAGGCCTCACCATGGCTCCCGCATCGTGTATGTGTGCCCACCTTCACATAGGAGGCATCCCAGCTGTGTGCATGTGTACCCATGTGTGTAGGGGGTGTCCCAGCTGTATGTGTATGTATTGATGTATAGCTGTGTATGTGTACCCGAGCGTGTGTAGGAGGCGTCGCAGCTGCCAGCACGCTTGCTCTTGGCCGAACACCGTGAGCGCCTGGCTCAGGGCGAGCGCGAACTCCGTCGCCTCCACCCACCCGCGCCCCCCCCCACCACCTTCTCCACCGGCATTAAGATGGTGTGACACTCATCAGCACTCCACAGCATGTGATGTTCTGGTGCGTGATGTTAGCAATGATGGTTATAACCAGGTGAGAACTCAAGAGAGCAGGTTGAGTCTTATTTGCAAGAGCAACCTGGGTCACCAAAATGACAAAAAACAAATTTTGGTGATGATATAGATGGTGACGGTGTGCGATTGTGATGACGATGTCGGTGATGTTTGCTGTGTAGAAGGTGCTGCTGGAGCCCGTTCTGTGCTCCCAGGAGTCGCTCTTCTCCTACCGTGCGGTGGAGCTCACTACGTGGGGGCCCCGCGCCCCCACCGAGGAGGAGCTGGGGCCTGCCGGGTAACCACAACCACCACAACCCATGCTGTGGTAGTGCCAGGCTGATGATGGCAGTGATTTATAGCAATGGTGATGCTGGTCGTAATGATGCTGGTGGTAATGTCGATGCCAATGGCTACAGTGCCGATAACGATGTTGCGGATGCTGGTGTTGGTAATTTTGTTTATGCTGCTGCTGTTGATCGTGCTTATGGCATTGCCGATAGTGGTGGACATGGCCTGTTGCAGAGATCCACGATTCACAGTTTTAATCCAGTGGCCACCTTGGTGAATACAGCGGGTGTACCGTATTTTCCCACATATAACCCGTGGGGTATACCGCTTTTTACAAACAAAACAACACCCAGCGGGGTATATGGAGGTCCGGGCTATCCCAATAATATTTTACACGTGTGACATGTCATAACTCTTTTTGATTTAAGTCTTTCGTGACTGCAGGGATTCATATTATTGGTTCTTTCGGTAAAGTCACGTAGAAGGGAAACAATAAAATAAAAAATATATAAAAAACAATAAAATTCTCACATTTTGACTGCAACACAAGCGATCATCATCAGGTGTGAAAACCACAGCAAGAAAGTTTTTCACCTGATGATGATTGCTTGTGTTGCAGTCGAAACGTCATGAGAATTGTTTTTTATATATTTGTTTTTTTATATTTTTATTTTGTTTCCCTTCTACGTGGTTTTACCGAAAGAAGCAAGAATGTCATAACTCGTTTAATTTTTCATGGTAGGACTATCCACTATGCAACACTTACCTTTGACTAAAGCACTGCTGAATAAACCACTCACTAAAATTGCACGTTATCACGTTTTAAATGATTCGAATTGTTTGTACAATGCAACGACAATGTGACAATGTTTGAAGTGGGCGCACTTTGTTTACCGTAATACTTTCAGTGGCTGTAGGGGGGTGCGAAAGTTTCAGCTGAGGCTATGGATTGCACAATGGGAAGGGCCTTAACAAGCGTCTACCAGACGCGGAATCATAATTGCCGAGTCCCTTAGGCCACTGCTATTGGCTGAGCACTATACAGTCGCGACCATGAGCTTTGTTTCAAACTTCCAATGGCTTTGTTGCCAGGGGGCAATGGCGTTACCGTAGTGCCGCTATTGTCTGCAGTGCGCAATCTACCAGTGCTAAAACTGTACTTATCTACCAGTTATGTGTTACTTATTTATTGGATATTTACTTTTGTTACTTATTTACTGTTTTAAGTTCACTCGTTCCCGGTTAGTTTGTTTTCTTGGTGCATGTTATGATTTTAATGTTAACAATTGATAGTGGAATGTATTACAAATGTAAACTTTGTATTAATGATGGATTTAAGCTGCAATAACGACGTTAAAGATATGAATGCATGCGGGGTATATGGAGGTGCGGGCTATCTGAAATTTGTTTTGCACAAAACGCATTTTTTTCGGGTTATATGCGTATGCAGGCTCTATGCGGGCTATATACGGGAAACTACGGTAATCAGAAAAAACATGTCTGCTTCACAGTGCACGTAAAAGTGACATAATTCGCAAAAGTAGACCCTTGTGTGCTGGCAAATCCCCCCAATTGGAATCTAATAGCAATCATCGCCCCCCCCCTCCCCCCATTATGAATGTCTTCAGGCTTGGCGAGACTTTCCTGGCGTGATTACATTCACAAATGACAAATCTTCACAAAGCAACTGTAATTGCAGGCATTGAATAATAAGCAGTTGCTGTTGCTGATGGTGGTGCCCGCGGTGTTGATGGTGTCCCCCAGGTATCTGAATCACGTGCGCTCGGCCTCATCCCTGGATCAAGGCGGCGGGTACACGTCGGCGCTCGCCTGCCGCCGTGCGCTGCAGGACGCCCTCAGCGGCCTTTTCTGGCGGCCGCACGCGGCGGGAGACGGGGGGGTGGTGGCGGCGATGGCGGGAGGGGCGGCCGCCACCGGGACCACGTGACGGTGCCATCCACACAACGGGCGACCTGGCACCAGCTCGAAACCCGGTGATGCAGGTGTAGTGTGTCAACTGAGGCGCACACACACTGTTGTAGGAGGCAACGCGTTTATTAAACAATTAACTTTACACCAGATTATGTTGCTAAGTGTGGCTAACTTCCTAGGCTGCTCACTATGTGCGCGTGTTATAGCTTGATCCCTGAAACGAGCCCCGAGTCCCCCTTAATCCCTTGGGCCCGTGCTGTATCAAGGCCGATGCTCCCCACTTCCGGCCACGTGTCCTTAACTCCTCCAATCGATCACCACTTCCCGTCACGTGCCCTTAGCTCGTCCAATCGAGCACCCAGCACTTCTCCAGCACCGTGACTGGCGCGACCCACAGAGATGTCTCTACACAGGCAACTAGAGCGACAAACAGGCAGCTGTACCACCACCACTGCCAATAACAACACCTTCAGCATAACCACCCCCAGCAACAGTCCTCTCCTTTATTTCTCAATTAACTCGATCATTAATTCCAGCTTTGGACTCCCAGAATCCCTGGGAAGTCACATGGGATGGGTGGGGCCGGTACTGGTGTGAGAAAGGAAGGCACAGATGCGGATGTGACACGAAAAATAATGCTGCAGGCCATCAAAATGAGTTTTGTTACGGGAATGCTAATGAGTGGTGCGTCACCGTACATGGGAAAAGGGCTTGAGTAAGGTCAGAGCTAAACATTGAGTGATTTAACGGTTTATTCCAGTTCCAGCAGAACACAACGCAACTTTGATCAATATAAACTGCCATTCGTCACTCGGCAACGGTGATGTCACTACATCGATTGTACCAGACGACATAGGTACACTTTCGGGGGTCACAGGACAGAAAGGTGTTAACAACGGTTGAGTGCCCAAGACTGGCAGATGCACCACCACTTGTGCTGCCCGCTGCCACCTCGCTGCGTTTTAGCCACCGGGCGCTCCACTCAAGGTGCGCGTCTCTTCTGCCAGCTATTGCTACTTGAACGGCTGCTTCCAACCGCTCAGTATGTCCTCCATAGGCCGATCTTGACACCGCTGGTACCCGTCTCCGGCAATGGTAAACACATGCAACCTCCGCAGCGCATGGTAAGATTTTAAGTCTTGTTTTGTCAATGCAAGGCAGCTCAGGCTTTCACAGCACAGGGAGGGGAAAGTTGCAATCACAGCTTTTCCCCATGTCGGAGCAGTGTGAGCCCAGCCGAGCTACACACCAACGGCTGACTGGTTTGAGCTAAAGGGAACAAGGCTTTCAGATATCAATGGCTAATTAACCGTTAGTGGCACACAAAGCTCAGCATTTTGGAGGGGGAGCAAATTGTTATGACCAAGAGGTACCATGTCAAAAACAAGTGTTCCTGTGTAAGTTCACATCAAACTCTCCTTGGTGAATGCTTATTTCGTGTTCATAATGGCAATGTGTTTTTTTTACATTAATGAATAACATTTGAATAGTTTTTTTTAATGTATGACTGTTTAAACATTTCCGGGCAAGGGGGTAACTGCTCATTTTTGCCACCGTCTGAGTGCTTTTCTAGGATTAGGACTGTGTGCGTTCCAGCATCTCTTCAACATGTCAGTCCACAGGCACAAACACACAAACACTTGTAATTTTTGAAGCGCGTTTATAATAAATATTTCTGCGTGGACGCATTTATGAATGACGTTCACCAATCGCGGTGTCACAGTGCGACACGGAATGTTCAAATCATTCATGGGGGGGGGGGGGAATCGTGTAAACAGGGGCAATAGTCGGGCCCGTGTTGCTAGTCCAGCATCGTGGGTGACTGAGTGGATGGTTGATTGAGCGAACATGCGAGTGAACGAGCCAGGCACCGCGTCGTGCCCCGCCGACGTGACCGTTAGGACGATTCCTGCTTTACGATGCAAAGGTGGCGATGCCGCCCTTTAGCTCTATAGGTCACAGTTCGGCTCCACGTGATGGTAAAATGTCACGGTTAGCACCTCGATCCTTCACGAGGCCTGATGGTGGTGATGATGATGTAGATAGATGATGGTGCTGCGGTCAACCGTGTTTACATCTCGTCGTCCAGACCCAGGTCCTCCTCTGGGAAGTCGCCCACAGTGATTGACATCGGCTTGAGGAATGCGCCGTAGCGCGGCTCGCACTCAAAGTACCGGCGACCACCCACACTACACGGCACACACAGCCACGGGAAGAGGAAGTTAGCGAGGGCCTATTTAGGCAGCCACCAGACATTGCTATGCATTATATGCCCAGTTGACATAAAAGGCAGACGCACACAGGACATAACGCGCCACAGTAATTGCACCACCACTCGGCACTTCTCCACATTTATATTCAAACCACACCCACCAGCATACTGCACACACTTCACCACCCTGTGCTATGAGCAGGCGAGGCCTCACCTGCCGTCGTTCTTGCCCAACGGTTCGTCATACTTCACCCCGACCCAGAACCCTGGCTTGAAGTCTGTCTGACCTGGGGGGGTGGGGGGAGCGTGATGTCACCTCACAGCCAATCACAAACATTTACAGCCAACCACACCCAGCAACCACAATGACACTACAACCTATGCCGGCAGTGGAATTATGGGTAGGCGATGAAGGCAACCGAGTCTCAAGGCTTTTTATGAGGGTCCTGCCAAGTTTTTGCAGTCTACGGCAATGTTGCGACGTGCAACCCCAATTGGGTAATTTGCAGAATATTTTACAGCAATGCAACGTTTGGCAAAGAGCGGTTACGTTGTTTTTAAAGGTGTCAAACATACCGCAGCTGCTGCCTAAGATAATAATGCTGACAATCGTGATCAGATTTTAATTACACACAACACCACCATAAACCACACAGCACACGACACCACACACGGCAACGACGACACCACACTCGCACACCAAAACCCACACACTACCAAAACCCACATGCCACGTACCCACGAACATGACGGTTCCACGCTTGTGTGGCTGCCCCATCACTTCCACCTGACACCGCTGCCCGACCGTGATGGCACTCGCCGCTAACTTCTCTTCTTCCTCGCGCTTGCGCCGCTCCTCCTCGCGCTGCGCCTGCATCTCCTCGTCAAAGCGGCCCAGCCGCCGCTGCTTCATGAACGTGCGCACCGACTCTGTGAGGTGTGATGACAGGTACATGAAGAGGGAGTGGGTGTTAAAATATTAACTTAATGCAGCTGCACCTTTTCACAAACTTCACAGGACCTCGTGACATCACATCACACTTTCTTCACACACACACATCCCTCACAATATTTCCTAAAAAAAAAATCACACACTGCATTTTACCTCTCAAATTACCTCCTCACACCAATTAACATCACATCTCCTTAAACCAATTAAACGACCTCAAGGTCCCACACAACCTCACCACCACCACCTCTTTACACCACCTGTGTAAAAAATGTGATTAAGCACCGACTGTGTAAAGAGGCGTTAATCTGCGGGAGACGACTGCAAGACAATTGACATGCGAGCGTAAAGAGTGAGCGAGAGAGACGAATGTGCAAACCTGTCCAGGAGTGAGTGGGCGAGCGAGTGAACGGGATTCTGACCGGAGCGTTTTTCGTAGTCGTCTTCCTGCATGTCGTACTTGGGCACAGACGAGAGGTCCTCAAACTCGCCTTTCTGTCGCCCCGTCACGTCCATCACCTGGTGGGGGAGGTGTGGAGCGAGAGCGCGGTGCACACATGCCAGTGTCGGTATCACCGGTACCGGAGAATTAGCAAACGTCAATGCGCACTGGCCAGCGTGAAGTACGGTCAAACAACCCCGAGGACCTCAACCAACATTGACAAAGGGATATACATGATGAATATTATACAAGGACCCCCCCCTTAATCGTAGGACCCAAGCATCCGGTAGTGGGTACGCACGTGGCCTTTAATCCAGCACTTTGGAGGCAAGGGTTGGTGGATCAGGGACATTCCTCTCAGTGGGCGTTGAGAAGCCATACTCTGGCTCACCACAAGAATGCAGGAAAGCAAAGTGCGGACGAATATCATGTTCCTTCTGTTAGGGATAGTGTTGCCTCTTCGCAACCTGTTTTTTCTATGGGTGCTCGGGTTTCCTCACGCATGCATAAACACTCATTAGCTCAAGACATCGCAATGTATATGACTGCAGAGCTTGGGTAATTGTTGGCACCGACTCACCACCTGGCTGCTGCCTTCCAGCTAGTATGTGGCTCCTTAGCGATTGTAATATGCAATTTTAACAATATGAAACGAAACATTATTATCTCGAGATCCTCTAAATCCCAGGACCCTGGTAGTATTCTTAAGAGATTCGTGGTATCCCTAGAATGCCGAATTCCAGGCCCTGGTCATATCCCTAGATCCCAGAACCCTTAGAATCTGGTGGTATCCCTAGACAATCTCAGGACCGTTGATGGTATCCCTAGGCACCCCCCGCACCCCTCAATTTTAGGACCCCCGTGTTGGTATGCCCGATGGCGCACGTGGATGCGGCAGCCGTTGTCCACGGGGTAGGATCCGAGTTGGGCATCGTCGTCGCTGAGCTCGGGGAGGGGCTCGTCATGGGGCCCAAACAACTGCAGGCGCATCCCCGCGGCGGGGGCCCCCGTGATCATCTCCAGCTTCCCCTACACCAGCACGACATCGTACACACAGCACGCCATACACACCGGAGCATACACACGGCACATCAAATTAATGCTCAACAATTTATACGCCACACACACACCATGCTGCAGAGGCTCAAGTGATCAACTCCAGCTACCCCTGAGCGCAGACAAAAGATAAAGATCACCCGTGTAGCCTCAATAGACTCTTGGACTAAATGCGCTGAGCGAGCACCTATTAAGGCCGGCACGGCGCACGAGGGGGCGTTTGGTCAGCACCACGGCCGGACGCCTTTGTCTCCCCAATGGCGATGGTTACACACAGAACCAGGTACTAATTTGAGGCTGTGTCGACCTAGTAGAGGGCAAGGACCGGTTCGGATGTTGGCCCCGAGTGGGAATCGAACACGCTCCCCACACACCTCCCAAGTCATACCTCCAAACACCACCAGCGCACACGCTACACACCACGCAGCACACCAATACCCGGTGACGTCAGCACGGCGCCTGTGCCAGGCCAGGTGCATTTTGAGGCCACGTGAAGTGTCGAAGGCTCAGCTGACAAGAGGATATCTCGGGATAAACCCAGCAGGTGCCATGGGTTGGCTGACTGAGATGACCGACAGATGCACCACCAGCTGTACACCCCCCCCCATCTGTGCCGACTTGCTGTATTTTATCCGCCCGGCGCTCCCCTCGTTGTTGTGAACGTCGCTCCTCTGCCCTCCGTTGTTGCCGGAGGGCGACTGCCTCCAACTGCCCAGCAGCAGCATCCCACGCAGCACGGCACACCACGCAGCACCACACAGAGCACGCGCACCTTGAGCTGCGCCACGGTGGTGTCGCGGCAGAATCGCTTCTCGCTGGGGAAGGAGGAGAGGGAGCTCGTGACGAACACGGAGACCACCGCGCCCTGCACCTCGCCCAGGATGAGAGCCGCCATGGCGAAGACAGCTGCGGCCCCGAGTTCACGTGGCCCAGGGGAGGAGGCCGGTGAGGGTGTGGTCCGACGTTAAGAGTGGCGAGCGAGGGTGATGGAGGTTAAGAGTGAGGGACCGGTGGGGAAGAGTGTGAGATTGAGGTGAGAGGGATTGTGGCGAGGCGATGTAAAAAAAGCGTTGGGTGAGCAGGAGGCGAGGTGAGAGAGCTCGCGGTGAGTAGACGAAACGAGTGGGCGAGGTCAGACAGACGACGAGGTGAGAGAGGGGCGAGGTGAGGCAGGCGATGCGCACTTCCCGCGCGCTTCTCCCGCTCCGTTGACCCGGATGTGACGTCACTCCGCTTCGCGCCGCAGTTTTCGCGATTCCTCATAAACCAAATAGATTCTTCGATTCGATCATACATTCACGCGTTTAAAGACAATGCTCGTCTGTACAAATGCAAAGTGATGTCTTGCAAATTATCGGTTTGTTACCCATAACACTGCTGTTCGAATCCACCCCCCCCTCCACTTTACAAATGGATAGTAGCCCTGAGCTATTCATTCGAATCGATCCCCGACTTCAACTTTTTCGACTCACTTGGGAATCGACGGCACCCGTTTCTGGATCATACGATCGGCGAAACAAATAGAATCGATTCCTATGACGTACGAATCGAGCATGCGAATCGACAGGGTTGTGTCAATGCGCTCGTTGCCACGGTGATGGGCAAAGGGGCCCTGGGATTCTGAGAATTCGCCACATAAAATATTAACCACTCAGCCATCAAATAACCACACGTGGAACACCGCTCTATGTGTCAACCAAGGCCGTAATTGTAATATATTGGGAGGGGGGAGACACTTAAAATATGCTCAAAATGCCCCCCCCCCCCAATATATTGCTATGAAATAAATTTCTGTTTATATTATTGTGGTTATGGTTGTACCTTATTAATCCCTAATTCCTAATCTCTGCCATTACATACAATAAAACAGTAAAAAGGTAAAAAAAGAAAAAACAGAGCAATGTAATACAATACACTATTATTGTAAAAAATACATAAAAAGTCCATCGTATGTATTCGTGAATTTTTTAAAAATATTTTAGGCAGGAAATGGCAGGAAATGAGTTTTCAAATTTAGATCTTTTTTTT